AACCTAAGATTAATAAACAGATTGTATTTAAAATACATATTTATCTATTGTTCTTAGTGTAGCCATTTTAACATGCGTTCGAAGCCGTTACATTTACTTTCACACAATGGGTTAAATAGTAGGACAGACAGGCCTCTCTAGCCGTGGTTGGCAACCAGTCTAGGAGAAAGATAACTCTGAATTCAAAACAGTATTTAGCCACGTTGGGGTAAATGCTTGTTCAGTGTAGTTGCGGTAACGACAATAGGTCGACTCTGTTGAAAATGCAGAAACGATTCTGAGTAGACGGACATGTTTCTAAAAGAAGCAGGACAGTTGAGGGAGACCAGTAACATTGATTTGCGGTGTACCGTCACGTAGAAACAAGGTCGGATGAACAAATTTCAAAGTATTTACTGGAATTTTTATCACGATAGACTCTGTAGTAAATGAAATTTTATTTATATTTTTAAACATGCGTTTTATAATATTGGCCGCCACTGTATGTCGTCTGCGCTCTAAAGGTCGTTTTTGGCGCCAAAAAAAAAAAAAAATCTCGAAAGGACCTACAGCACGAAATCTATTTCTGCCAAACTCGAAAAGGTTGTGTGAAGCAGGGCGGAATTTAAGATTTCAAAGTGGCTTTTGCTCAACGAACTCTACCCAGTTTAGAGTCCGCACGCCGAAGAATCAGAAAATCGACGAAACTACCTATGAATCCTGGACAATCGGTCCAGAATACGAAATATTCGAAATTTCTGTTAAAAAAAAATTGACATATGTTCGGTTTACAACCGAGACAAAAAGGCAGATATAGTTGAGGTTTACAATTGAAATAAAAAGTCAGGCATAGGTCCAATTTATAACCGAGACAAAAAGGCAGATATAGTTGAGGTTTACAATGGAAATAAAAAAGTCAATAGGTCCAATTTAAACGGAGACAAAAGGCAGATATAGTTGAGGTTTACAATGGAAATAAAAAGTCAGGCATAGGTCCAATTTATAACGGAGACAAAAAGGCAGATATAGTTGAGGTTTACAATGGAAATAAAAAGTCAGACATATGTCCAATTTATAACGGAGACAAAAAGGCAGATATAGTTGAGGTTTACAATGGAAATAAAAAGTCAGGCATAGGTCCAATTTATAACGGAGACAAAAAGGCAGATATAGTTGAGGTTTACAATGGAAATAAAAAAGTCAGGCATAGGTCCAATTTATAACGGAGACAAAAAAAGCAGATATAGTTGAGGTTTACAATGGAAATAAAAAGTCAGACATAGGTCCGATTTATAACGGAGACAAAAAGGCAGATATAGTTGAGGTTTACAATGGAAATAAAAAGTCAGGCATAAGTCCAATTTATAACGGAGACAAAAAGGCAGATATAGTTGAGGTTTACAATGGAAATAAAAAGTCAGGCATAGGTTCAATTTATAACGGAGACAAAAAGGCATATATCGGTCCGATTTGCAACGGAGACAAAAAGGCAGACATAGGTACGTTTTACAACGGAGACAGAAAGACAGATATAGGTCCGGTTTACAACGGAAATAAAAAGGCAGACATAGGTCCGGTTAACAACAGAGACAAAAAGGCAGACATAGGTCCGGTTTACAACAGAGACAAAAAGGCTGATATAGGTCTGATTTACAATGGAGACAAAAAGGCAGACATAGTTCCGATTTAAATCCCAGACAAAAAGGCAGACATAAATTTGGTTTACAACAGAGACAATAAGGCAAATATAGGTCCGTTTAACAACAGAGAAAAAAAGCCAGACTTCGGTCCGTTTTACAACGGAGACAAAAAGGCAGACATAGGTCCGTTTTACAACGGAGACAAAAAGGCAGACATAGGTCCGTTTTACAACGGAGACAAAAAGGCAGATATAGGTCCGATTTACAACGGAGAGAAAAAGGCAGACATAAGTCGAGTTTACAACAGAGACAAAAAGACGGAGAAAGGTCCGATTTACAACGGAGGCAAAAAGGCAGACGTAGCTCCGGTTTACAACAGAGACAAAAAGCCAGGCATAGGTCTGATTTACAACGGAGACAAAAAGGCTTATATAGTTCCGAATTACATCCCAGACAAAAAGGCTGACATAGGTCCGGTTTACACCAGAGACAAAAAGGCAGACATAGGTCCAGTTTACGACAGAAAAATAGCCCCACCTGGGTCCGTTTTACAACAGGGACAAAAAGCCAGACATAGGTCCGATTTACAACAGAGACAAAAAGCCAGATATACGTCCGGTTTACAACGGAGACAAAAAGGCAGACATAGGTGCGATTTACAACGGAGACAAAAAGCCAGTCATTGGTCCGATTTACAACTGAGACAAAAAGGCAGACATAGGTCCGGTTTACAACTGAGACAAAAAGCCAGATATTGGTTCGGTTTACAACGGAGACAAAAAGGCAGACATAGGTCCGGTTTACAACTGAGACAAAAAAGCAGACATAGGTCCAATTTACAACGGAGACAAAAAGCCAGTCATAGCTTCGGTTTACAACGGAGACAAAAAGGTAGACATAGGTCCGGTTTACAACAGAGAAAAAAGCTAGACATAGGTCTGATTTACAACGCAGACAAAAAGGCATACATAGTTCCGGTTTACAACGGAGACAAAAAGGCAGACATAGGTCTAATTTACAATGGAGACAAAAAGGCAGACATTGTTCCGATTTACATCCCAGACAAAAGGCAGACATAGATCTGGTTTACAACAGACACAAGATGGCAGACATAAGTCCAGTTTACGACAGAGACAAAAAGGCAGATATAGGTCTGGTTTACAAGGGAGACAAAAAGGCAGACATAAGTCAAGTCTCGTTTACAACGGAGAGAAAAAGGCAGACATAGGTCCGGTTTACACCAGAAACAAAAAGGCAAACATGGGTGCGGTTTACAATAGAGACAAAAAGAGAGACATATGTCCGGCTGACACTAGAGTTAAAAACGTAGACATGGGTTCATTTTACACCAGAGTGAAAAAGATGGTCATAGGTTCGGTTTACACTAGAGCTTATAGGTCTAGTTGCCATTAGAGCAAACTGGTAGACACAGGTCCGGTTTACACAAGAGTCAAAGAGGTAGACAGAGTCCCAGTTGGCACTTGAGTAAATTGGTAGACATCGGTCGAGTTGACACTAGAGGCGAAACAATAGACATAGATCTGGTTTACATTAGAGTAAAAAAGATAATGCCCGTTTACACTAGTGTCAAAATGGTTGATATAGGTCTGGTTTACACTTGAGTAAAAAAGATAGGTATAGGTCCACTTTGCACTAGTATAAATAGGATATACGTTGGTTCCGTTTACACTGGAGTTAGTGCGGTTTAAACTAGAGTTTAGAGATATGTGCGGTTTGAACTAGAGTCAAAATGGTTGATATAGATCCGGTTTAGACTTGAGTAAAAATGATAAACATGATTTGTATGATTTTATTCGAATGTTAAAAAAGTTAGATATAGACATTAGAATCGGAAAGTAAATGCCTAGTTTACTTTGATCGACAAATAATTACTCAGGAAGTGGTGCTTTTGTTGAGTGTTTATTCGTTCGATATGAGATGCAGTGGGTGTGTTCTGATCCCTTCCGACAGGGCATGTTTGTGTGTGTGTTTATGTGCCCTTGCGTGAGTGTCTTTGCATGAAGTCTAACTTCGTTTGTTACAAAAATGACCTCGCCCCACTTTATAGTAAATCCGGGTCTTTTTCATTTTTATTTACTTATTTATTCTCTGACTGGAGATTGAAGTGGGTTAAATTAGACAATTAATGATAATTTTTGTTAAGTCGACTTTTTCACTCGATACAAGCTCCTGTGGAAACTCATGATAGATGGTTACTAAATAGGAATCTTGCAGGGTCTATCGCCTCAATTCTCTTCTTAATCTTCGAGGGGATTGTCCAGCATTCTCTTTTATATAGGATGAACGATATTGCATTAACAATTTAGCATTCCTTTCTTTATTTCTTTCCGCATGTGTTCTCCTGTATAATGCTAGACATGGCATCACGAGATTGTATATCATCGACTTAGCAATCTCCACATGCTGCATTCGATTTTTGACGTTGTCGGATGCAGTAACACACCCAAAAGAAAAAAAAAAAGGTGAACATGGCGAGAAAATTGGATCGTTAGTGAAGATAAAGCCAAGAGCTCTGTTTTAAACGTACGGGTCGATTTATTAACTGTTGGTACAATTCCTCAAGTGCCGAAGTGTGGGGTGGCGGATATGTGGCAACTTAGCAATCCACTAAGACAAGCGGATCCACGTAGAAACGTAACGGCGATCTTTCTAGAACAGGAACTAGCAACTCGCCCGTTAGAACTGCAAATACCCCTGGTGACGCTGGTGGAAAAGCGCCCAACAATGGTTCCCCGACTGCCCTACCTCTGATAAAATCCGAATCTATATTATAAATGAAGGAATGATTTTCTGTATGCGCGTCTGGATATGTCTATGATTGCGTTGCGTGTGAGTGACTTGTGCTTGTGCCATTTAATGTGCCTTAGGAACACGCGCACACACATACATAAACAGTTTGACTATTAGAATAATAAATTCACCACTTACTTAGTCTGGTCAGGGACTTCCCTTTTGTGTATTTTGCATTTCGACAGCCATTTGCAATGCGAAAAGCGCGCATGCGCGAGTGCAAACCTTATAATACAATCGGTTGAGGAATATTTGTGGCTCCAACTACTGCTGAGAAAGTATTTTAATTGGCTACCATTTAAAATTTACGGTGTTGGAGTGAGTTACTATTCCTTCGGTGCCAAACCTGTTTTGAAGTCTCTCTCTGTGCTTGCGTATTTGAAAAAAATCAATTTCAGAAAGATTTCCACCCGACAAAGTGAAAGATCTCACTGGATGCGCCAATTTTTTTTTTTTTAACGTTGTTATATTTGAAACGTTCGAAGTTAGGATCATTTCTGACAAAGAACTTACGGTCATATTACTTTTTTCTTCGGCGGCAAACCAGTTTTGAAATCTCTGTCTGTCTTTATGTTACAAAATCGGCTTGCTAAAGGAACCTTCTTTCTTTCTTTCGTTATTTCTTCCGTTCGTTTTTTCTTTCGTTCCTTCTTTCTTTCCCTTTCTTTATTTTCCTTTCTTTCATTATGTTTCTTTCTTGCTTGCTTTTCTTTTCTTTTCCTTTCTTTCTTTCTTTCTTTCTTTCTTTCTTTCTTTCTTGTTTGTTTGTTTGCGTGTTTGTTTCTTTTCCTTTCTTTCTTTATCTTTCATTTTTCTTTATCTTGCTTTCTTTTCCTTTTTTCCTTTTTTCCTTTCTTATTTCTTTAGTTCTTTCTTGTTTGTTTGTTTCTTTCTTTCTATATTTCCTTTTCTTTCTTTCTTCCATTCTTTCTTTCTTTGTTTCTTGTTTGTTCTTTCTTTCTTTCTTTCTTTCTTTCTTTCTTTCTTGTTTGTTTGGTTGCGTGTTTGTTTCTTTTCCTTTCTTTTTTATCTTTCTTTTTTCTTTATCTTTCTTTCTTTTCCTTTCTTTTCCGTTCTTTCTTATTTCTTTCGTTCTTTCTTGTTTGTTTGTTTGTTTGTTTCTTTCTTTATTTCCTTTTCTTTGTTCCATTCTTTCTTTCTTTCTTTCTTTCTTTCTTTTTCTTTCTTCCATTCTTTCTTTTTCTTTCTTTCTTCCATTCTTTCTTTCTTTCTTTTCTCGACCTTTTCATTTTTGCTTTTGTTTTTCTACTTCGAACGTCGTTACTTTTGACACGTTCCCTTTTCGAATCCTTACACCATCCGACAAAGCAAAACATCCTACTGTGTGCGTACGCACCATCTGACTCTTCAAAGACGACTTCAAAAGTATGGGGTATGGTGTTTACCAGCACCCGCAGAAAAAGGATTTATCCCCCAAGGATATTCATTCTGACATGATCTCAACATCAGGGGATGACGCACCAGTTCTATCAACAGTACAACATTGGGCAGCTGAATTTAGGAGGGTAAGGAAGAATCTGGAAATCACCCATAGTCTGGATGCCCTCTCAACTGCCACCACCGAGGAAAACGTTGATCGTTTTCACCATATGCTGATGGATGACAGGCGACTATAAATCTTGTAGCCAATGCTATTAGCATGTCACGTAAGAGAGTTGAGAATATTCTGCATAATGAACATGACATGACGAAGATTTCTGTTCGGTTGCCACGTTTTCCGTCAAAAGCTCACCTAATTGATCAGTAAAATCTGACATTGTTTGAAGCAAATCCAGTTGGTTTCTTAACTCGGGACGAGTAGTGGACTCATAATCACTTTAAGCCAGAGACAAAGAACATCCCTCCTCACATGGTCGTTTCATCTCCAGGGAAGGTGATGGCCTTAGATTTTTAGCATGCAAAAGATATGGTATTTATTGATTATATTCAAAAGGGCCACACCATCAATGGAGAGTACGAATCCAATTTGCTGATGCAGTTCCGAAAGGACATCAAGCCCAATCTCTCAGGAAAAATTGACGAAAGGTATCTTGTTTCATTAGGACAATACTCCAGCAGACAAGTCCTTGGTTTCAATGGCTGCTGTGTATGAGTGTGGCTTTGAACGGGTTGACCACCCTCCCTATTTTCTTGATTTGACTATCATCTGTTCACCAACATGGAAAAAACATTTGGCTGGGAACCACTATCGCAGGGAGGAGGACGTCATTTCTGTTGTCAATGACTTTTTAGACGATCAAAATTAGAAGTCTTCTTCGAGAAGTCAGTTGTCTGTTTACCTGGAAAGAAACGATGCAGTTATTAATAAGAAGAGTTGAAATTCATACATGCAAGATTTCATAGCTCCAGCACCTCTCCTTCGTAGTCAGCCTATGGAAATTTCAGTTCCCCCTTGTACGAGCGACATCATTTCTTTCTAAAAATAATAAGCTCACATGGAGGGAAAATGCCATATTATTATGGAGGTCGAATATGATAGTCTAAGATAATTGGCAGTCATTCAATTATGTGCCATGCGTGATACACGATCATGTATCTTTCGATACATGACTGACGAGGCAGATTTTTTTCTCACAATTGGTTGCCATTTTTTCTGCGGTAGACAAGTTGCCATCCAAGGCTATAGAACCCGGTCTTTCCTGCTATTTACCCATAGGTGGAGGGGAAAAGAAGAGTATTCATACCTTTTCCCAAGGGTATTAGCACGTAAGTGAATATCAGTCAGTTTTGTGCCATGCATGATACACAATTAGGCGACCATGCATCTTTCAATACATAACTGACGAGGCAGATTTTTTCCCCGCAGTAGGTTGCCATTTCTTTTGGCGGTAAACCAGTTGCCATCCAAGGTTATAGAACCCAGTCTGTCCAGCTGGGGGGAGAAGAAGAGGATTCATACCTTTTCCCGAGGATATTAGCACGTAAGTGAATATCAGTCAGTTATGTGCCATGCGTGATACACACTTAGACGATCATGTATCTTTCGATATATGACTGACGAGGCAGATTTTTCCCGCAGTAGGTTGCCATTTCTTTCCGCGGTAGACAAGTTGCCATCCGAGGCTATAGAACCCGGGCTGTCCTATTATTTACACATAGCTGGGGGGAGAAACAGAGGATTCACACATTTCCCCAAGGGTATTAGCACGTAAGTGAATATCAGTCAGTTATGTTACATGTGTGATACACGCTTAGACGATCATGTATCTTTCGATACATGACTGATGATGCAGATTTTTCTCCCGCAGTAGGTTGCCATTTCTTTCTGCGGTAGACCAGTTGCCATCCAAGGCTATGTATGCAAGAATGAATAAAGTAAGGAATAAAAAGAAGAATATTATAGATTATCATCATTTAAATCTAAAATAATGCCCTGAATATTATAATATCCTGTCTACCATTTAATAGATTAGGCATTGGAAGATATAATGAAAGTGGAATCTATGGATGCAGGAATGAATAAAGTAAGGAATAAAAAGAACAACATTATAGATTATCATCATTTAAATCTAAAATAACGCTCTGAATATGATCGTTTCCCTTTTACCATTTAGATAGTCAGCGGAACCCATTTACCAATTATTAAGTTAGTCAGCAGAAAGATTCATTTTGTGAAAATGATTCTCATAAATAAATCATCACACTTCTGGTTTTCTGATCTCAAAAGCATTTTTATTTTTTACTCATTCTGTGCTTCGTGGTAATCGAATTTATTCTTCGATTAAAATTCATCAAAATTAAGATTTTCTACACAAAGTTCGTCGCATACAACGTCGGTGGATAAAGAAATATAATGGAACTTCTTTTTGTGCATGGACGCTGACCGAGGTGTAAAAATGGCGACGATGAAGCGAAGCTTAATGAAGTGAACAAGATGGAAATAAAAGGGAGAATCGGAAAACAAATCAACAGGTAAAATAGAGCCAGATATTTTGATGACGATTCTATGAGTACAGTGAAAACAAGTACAGCTGTAACAACTATTACTACTAATAATCCTGTTAGAACTATTGCTACTACTATGACTAAAACAATTGTTATAATTATTACTACTACACCGGTTAGAAATGTTACTCCTATTACTAAAACTATATTATTACAATTAATATTCCAAGTATTACTAATACTAATGTTAGAACTATTAATTCTACTAATACTGTTACAACTACCACTATTACAACTTTTACAACTATTACTACTAATACTCCTGTTAGAAATATTACTACTACTACTGCTCTAATGTTACAAATTTTACTACTAGTACAGCTGTTAGGACTATTACAATTATTGTTACAGCTATTACTACTACTGCTACTAGAACACAATGAGGCACGGTGGAGTAATGGATAGCGGCTTGTATTGAGGAATCGGAGAGAGCCGAGTTCGAATTCCAGTCGGATTCATTACGTTCACTTACGTGCTAGTACCCTGGGGAAAGGTGTGAATCCTTTTTCTTCTCCCTCCAGCTATGGGTAAATAGCAGGACAGACTGGGTTCTATAGCCTTGGATGGCAACTTGTCTACCGTAGAAAGAACAGGCTACCTACTGCGGGAAAAAATCTGCCTCGTCAGTTATGTATCGAAAGATAGCTGATCGCCTATTCCTGTATCACGTATAGCACATAACTGACTGATATTTACTTACGTGCTAATACCCTTGGGAAAGGTATGAATCCTCTTTCTTCTCCCTCCAGCTATGGGTAAATAGCAGGACAGACTGGGTTCTATAGCCTTGGATGGCAACTGGTCTAGGAGAAGGAAAAATCTGATTCAAAACCTGCTCTTAGAGGAGGGTGAATGGAGTCTCTCTGAGCCTAGGTTGGCAATCCATTTAGTGATAGTGTCACGATAAAAACACCCTTGATAGCCCTAGCGAAGCATCAAGAATTCAGCTATTTGACAAGATTACGAACTACACCAATCAAAGCATTGGTGAGTTCAATCTCGGCTGAGGCCGCAAGATGATGAGATGATGATGTTAAAACTATTACTACTACTACGCCTGTTTGAACTATTAATACTACTACTGTGCCAACTGTTTCTGTTATGAGTATTACAAACTATTACTACTACTGATCCTGCATAAATTATTACTACTACTGTTAAAACTATTACCGCTACTACTCATTTGAGAACTATTGCTGGTACTATTATTGTTAGAACTACTACGACTACTCCTGTTAGAACTATTATTACTACTACTCCCTATAGAACCGCTACTACTATTACTACTGTTACAACTATTACTACTACTCCTGCTAGGATTATTAATACTATTACCACTAATGTTAAAAATATTACAAATACTACTACTGTTAGAACTATTACTACTACTACAGTTATAATTATTACTACTACCACTAAAAATAGTAATACTACTACTATTGCCACTGCTGCTATTACGACCGTTGCTACTGCTACTAATATTATTAATTCTACTAAAAATACAAGTACTACTACTACTAAATATACTATTACATACATACAAATATTACAGCTATTACTAATCCTACTACAACTCTTACTATAATTATTTCTTCTTCTACTACTATTACTACTAATAATAATAATTATAATATAATAGTTGGCCATTCATATTCGAGGATACCAATCTACTAGGGTAGTTAAGCAATCTCTTTCTGTAGACGCTGTCTCAGGCACATTTATGGATTTAAATAACGCCTTTATACACTGTGCCATATATCCTTCAAAGGCGTTAGTTAGATCCAGTGACAAGACCCAAAGAGTTTGAGTTCAAAACCCGGTTAAGAAAGTGGAGAACTTGGAGAGGGGAATTAACAGGAGATAACTGATAACTAATATCTATTAGGTATGGCACGTGGAACTAGAACAGTCTAACCCAGTGAGCAAAATAAAAGGATCAGTTCGATATTCCAACCACCTGAAGAAGGCCGGAGCGTACAACGGCCGAAATGATGTGATAAATATGGCAACAAAGATGAGGACAATAGTCCGAATAATGTAAATAGTGTACATAATACCTCATCTCAGAAATATAGACAGATACTGAAGGATCGGAAAAATATGGCAACAAAGATGCCCGAAAAATAGTCCGAATAATGTAAATAGTGTACATAATACCTCATCTCAGAAATATAGACAGATACTGAAGGATCGGATAAATATGGCAACAAAGATGAAGACAATAGTCCGAATAATGTAAATAGTGTACATAATACCTCATCTCAGAAATATAGACAGATACTGAAGGATCGGATAAATATGGCAACAAAGATGAGGACAATAGTCCGAATAATGTAAATAGTGTTCATAATACCTCATCTCAGAAATATAGACAGATACTGAATGATCGGATAAATAT